TCTCTGTGCCTCATTTCTTTATCTATAAAATGGGCTTAATATCTACCTCATAGGGTTAGTCTGAGGATTAAATTGTCCTAAGACGCCCTGACTGGTTTGGCTCAATGGTTAAAGCATCAGCCTATGAACTGAAGGGTCACGGGTTCAATTCCCAATCAAGGGCACATACCTGGGTTGCAGGTTCAATCTCCTGCTCCAGTCAGTTGTACGGGAGGCAAACAATCGATGTGTCTGTCTCATATCTCTCTCTCTCTCTCTCTCTCCCCCTCCCTCCCTTCCACTCTATCTAAAAATCAATGGAAAAATATCCTCAGGTAAGGATTAACAAAAAATAAAATTAAAATAAATTGTCCTAAGACTTATAAAGTGCTTGTTTGCACAGTTGGCTCTTGCTATTATTTTCTAAGTAAATAAAAGCACTTTATTCTGAAACAACACAAGAAGATGAAAAAGGGAAACAAAACATATGATTTGATTATTACTAGAAAATGCACAAAATAAGTATTTGGGAAGTGAAGGTAACAATAAAGGGGCATGACCTGGAAGCTGAGAGTACTCCTACAAACCTTCACCTAAACAGACCCTGAGCAAGCAGTCAGCCTCTATGAGCCTGCAGCTTGCCACTGTCCACGTGGGCTGGCCACAATGATGCCTTCAGGATAAAGAGTAGTAGTAAGTGGAGGAACTGATCAGGAACTAGGAGGGCTGAGAGCAATCAGGCTCTCTTATTCTCCAAAAGGACTTGGAAATTTTTTATGCCTCTGAATTTCACCTAATACTTATGTTTTTAAAATATCTATCATGTTTATCAGCTATGTCTCTGTCATTCAAGGTCATATTTCCTGCAGCTATTTGGAATAAATAATTAAGACTTCTAATGGTTTCGAAAACAGCCAGTCAAAGGGGTTGCTGTCATCCACACTGTGGTATTGTCCCTAACTTCTCTGGCCACATTATAACAGCTACTCTTTATTAAACCCTACTTACATGCCACGTACTACAATAAATACTTTATCCCAAATTCTCAAAAAAATATGCAAGGTATGTAGTATTCTTCTTTATTATCATCTTTTATAGATAAGAACACTACCGGCTCAGAAAGGCTGCCCTGTTCATTAAGTGGCAGAGCTGGAAGGTGAATCTGGCTTGTTTGGCTCCAGAGTCCATATTCTTTCCATGAACCATAGTCCCCTTACTTACTCCACAATCATATTTCCTCTTACTTGTATAATAAAAGGTCATTAGCTAAGGTGATCAAAAACAAGAAAAATCTAATTTAGTGAACAATCAATTTGGACATTTTTTTTAAATGATCACTTTTGTTTCTAATTAAAGGTCTCCTCCTGGGTCTGTTCAAATGAATACTGTGCATTGAAGCTACTTGTATTACACAGCAGTCATTCAAACCATGGGTTAAAGCCCTAAAAAAAATGTTTACATTCTTCCCTGATGAATCCCCAATGCCCAAATCAGTGGCACTTAACAAAAAAATCTTGAATACCGCCTCCCTCAAATCTTGTTTACCAAAATACTCTACTAATAAGGAAGATGCATTCCAACAAGACACTTTAATATCTGAAAACTTCATGACTAAAATTAAACATAATATGAAAGTCACTGGGATATCTTTCCTGTGATAAGACACTTTCCTGCAAGTCAAGTGGCACTGTTATCATCAGCAAGTAATTATTAAACACCTACAAATATTTATTTAGCATAGTAACTCAGTATCTCCTCTGTCTTTCCCCATTAGGTTTGGCAAGCCACAGAAGCTCCTGTTCCCCTCCAGGCAGGCCAGCCTCTGTAGGTATAGGTAAAGACTATAAAGAGACACAAACGTCACACAAACTTAGACAGTTATTCCAAGTGAAACAAATACAAAGACCCCAGGAGTTTGACCTTTCCCTCAATCAGGCGTATGTTCTAACACCTCTTCCTGGAGCCCTGAAATTGCAGCCCTGAATAACTTCCTCCTTCCCCTCCTCCTTAATCAACCACCAACACTGAGGAAATCAGAAATGTCTCCCAATGTCTGTCATATCTATTCCTACTTCATCTAAAAGAGATAGTTTGTTCATTAAGGATGCAATGAATGTGTCAACACATACCATTAAAATTTTTCTTTAAAAACCCTATCCTCGCCTGGCCGATGTGGCTCAGTGGATTGAGCATTGTCCCATGGACTGAGAGGTTCTGGTTCATTTCCAGGTCAGGGCACATGCCCGGGATGCGGGCTCCATCCCTGGTAGGGGGCATGCAGGAGGCAGCTGATGGACGTCTCTCTCTCACATCGATGTTTCAATTTCTCTCTCCCTTCCTTTCTCTCTAAAAAAATCAATAAAACATATTTAAAAAAAAAAAAAAAAACCCACCCTGGCCAGTTTGGCTCAGCAGTTAGAGCATCGGCCCACGGACCAGAGAGTCCCGGGTTCGGTCCCCACTAAGGGCACGTACCACAGTTGCAGTTTGTCCCCGGCCCCAGTTGAGGTTGTGTGGGTGGCAACCAGTCAATGTGTCTCTCTCACATCGATGTTTCTCTCTCTCTTCCTCCCTCTCTCCCTTCCACTCTATCTCAAGATAAATGCAAAAAAATAAAATAAATAAAAATAATAAATAAAAACCTATCCTCATAGGGATAGGAAGTGCACACAATGTGTTACTACAAGGGAAAGTATACTAATCAGGAAGCTGGGGTTCTCTTGCACTACACCTTACCTTCCATCGCAATTTGGGAAAGTCAGTTAACCTCTCTAGGCTTCAGTTTCCTCAGCCGTAAAATGAAGGATTGAACTAGTCAGAGGTTATTCATCCAGGTCCAGGATGTCTTACGGAACTCAGGCATATGCTTTAGGGCAGTGGTTTTCAACCTTCCTAATGCTGCGACCCTTTAATAGTTACTCATGTTGTATGTGGGCATATCTGCATGTGGGGGACCGCCTGGAGACACAGAGGACTGGTGTCTCGGTTCCTAAGACCATCGGAAATATGTGTTATCCAACGGTCTTAGGCAACCCCTGTAAAAGGGTCGTTTGACCCCCCAAAGTGGTTGCGACCCACAGGTTGAGAACCACTACTTTAGGGGTTCATAGTCCTCCCACCCAAGGAACTAAAAATAAAAAATTACCTGTTCACATATGTGAATTTTTCTGCAGAAGTCTATGGCTTATACCAAACTGTCACACAAGTAGTGGCCCCAAAATTAACCAGTTCATGTTTTATCGAATGCTTACTATGTGCAAGGCACTGTGCTAAGTCCTTACATATATTAATTCATAGAACCCTCACAATAACCCTTTAAGTTAGATTATCCTTATTTTACGGCTGAACAGAGTAAACCTGAAAGGCCTGGGCTATTAAACACAATGTTATGTTAGGTGAGATAATCTCTAAATACTAAAATTCTCTGATTCTGTGTCCATTCAAATAAAGTTTTCCTTTAGTTAAATTTTCTGTCTTGTTTCACAATCATTAATCCTACTTTTATATAAATCTTTACACAAAACAACCAAACTCATGGAACACCCAGATGAATACTACCTGAATAAGAATATGTTAGGTAGTTTATCCTTGTAAAGGATCCAAAGGCACTTTCCAGCTCCAGTGGCCAATCTGTTTTTTACTTTTATAAAGTGGTGATTAACCAAAAGATTATCTGAATTTATTACTAAAGTCTAAAATCAAAATAACAGTAAATAAGTCAGAATGTCAACCAGGAGAGGGGACATAGTGGCAGCAATAGTGTCTCACATACCATTCACCAACACAATGAGAAGCCCAGGGAAGACACATTAGTGCAAGGCCGAGGTGTCACACGTTCCCTGGCTTCTCCCCTACTCCCGCCTCCTGAAAGCTACTGTCCACTGTGGAGTCAAGGTTTCAATCACTCCACTTAAGATACAAAGCTGGCTAAAGGTATTAGGGCATCAACAACCCCCACTTGGAATAAGGAGTGAAAGCCTAGCTTCCAATTTTTGTGAACTCCAGTTCTGACGACCTGCAATAGTGACTCAGGGGTCAGCAGTCATCCAGTTACACCTGCAAACTGTATTGCCTGCCACCTCTCTTCTGCCTCGATTACTGAGGAACATAACACTGCTCAATAAATGGTTGCAAAGCAGAAGTGGACATTGTTAGTTCTTTCCACAGGCTGTCAAAAACCTCCACATCTTAAAGGGAAGGTTGTTGAAACTTTATGCCCAACTTACTCTCTTGACCTTTCTCCATTTAGTCTGTGTAATAAGAAGAGAAGCAAAGGAGGGAGAAAGGAGATCAAAGGACCGGCCCCGGTGCAGGGATATCTTTTTCAAGGGTGATGCAACAGGGTCAGCCATACAACGAAGGGGAGGAGCTGGGAGCTTCTGGGAAGGAGAAATCCAGCGTTGGAGTTAGAAATCTGAGCGGAAAATGGGTTATGAAGGACTGGGTGCAAGGGTTATTTAGAGCGGGCCGGGGGCAAAGGGTCTGGCCTGGAGCAGTCGGGGGAAGCAGAGGGGCAGCGAGGGCTGGTGGGACGGTAACGAGAAGGGCAGAGGGCCTGAGGCCCGAGGAGGGGCGGCGGGTCTAAAACCGGGGAGGAAACAGCGGAGGCGGACAGGAAAGGGTGCATTCCGGGGGACCTCGGAGGGACGGTCACAGGGCCCGGGAGATATGCAAGGGTGACCTGCTCGGCGGTGTGGGAAATAAGGGAGGGGGTGGCCGGCCGGCAGATCCCTGAGGGTCGGGGGGTCCGGGGGCGCTGGGAGGTTGGAGAGGGGAGCTGGGGCACCAGCGCAAGGGCAGGAGCGCCCGTGCCCGAGGGCCCCGGGCGAGGGAACAGTGGTGACAACGGTCGGGAGCGGCGGAGCGGGAAGGCTGTCCCCTCGAGTTGGGGCGGGGGCCGCCATGGAGTCCCGGCTCGGGCTGAAGAGAGGGAGGCCGGGCCGGAGCACGGCGTCCGGGAGGAGGGTGGGTGGAAAGGGGTTAGGAAAGGCCCCGGGGCCGCTGCGGGCTGGCGCTCTCACCGGGACAGGTGCTTCAGGATCTGCTTCTTAATGATCCCGGCCATGCCGGAGCCGAGTCCCGCGTGGAAAGCAAGTGGGCGGCTGTGGCCTCCTCAGCCGTGAAGAGGCGTTCCTTCACCTCGTCGCGGCGCGGGGACCGGATACCGCCGCCATGGCGCTCTCCCGCACCTGCCCGAGCGCTGGCCTCTCCGCTGCGATCCCACCCACCGCGTTGCCGCGACCGCCAGCCCAGGGCGACGCAGAGAAACCACACCGCCCGCTGGACTCGCAGCGGCCTGAGGCGCGCGTGGTCAGAGGCGGGGCGCGCGGCGGCGGGCGGGGCGCGCGGCAAGGGGCGGGGCGAGGGCCGGGCGCGCGGCGAGGGGCGGGGCGAGGGCCGGGCGCGCGGCGAGGGGCGGGGGCGGGGGCGGCGAACTGCGGCCCTCTCTCCTTCGGCCCAGTCGCCGGCCTCTCAGCTTAAGGACAGTGAATGGCTTCTCCTGTGAACTGCACTTGGTTCACACCCTGGAGTCGCCTGGAAGTCTCGAGGAAGGGCGGCATGTTGTAGTTTTTTGCTAGAATTCTCTAGATAACCTCGCAACTCCCAGTCCACTTGTCATTCATTTTCCTCACTCGTTCACTCATTATTTGTTGAACACCAGCTAACTCTACTCCAGGAATCCGGGTCGGGGGTGGAGAGGAATCCCTGGGACCTCACAGGTCCCTGGAACCTGAGGTTTGCTGCTTGGTACTAAAGAGCTGAGAGGGGGCGCCTGGGCATCTGCTTTATGCCCCGGTAGCCTCTACCCGGTTAACCAGTTTTCACTCGGTCTGAGCGGGCGGAGATCACAGCCACAACACAGGCCAGCCTAGAACAAAACAGCTCTGGTGCAGGCGGGCTGCGCTGAGAAGGGGTCAACTCTGAGCCTTTCTTGTTTTCTGTCTTATAATAGGCACAAACTACAGAAACTACAAAAAACTACATTCTCTTGGCGTTGATATGAACTGTGACAGAGGCGAGGGAGGATTCTGTTGTAGGGGACGAGATGAGCTAGTTACAGAAGTCAGGGCAGTCATTGATCTCTTTCTTTTTTATGGTCCCTCCAAGTTCTCCAAGGCCACCATTAACCCCTTATCTTTATGGTTCCTCTGGGTGTCAGTCCCAGGGTTTTTTAGATAACTGCTGGGGTGTTTATGTGCAGGAATAACTGGTCAGAATGGAGTTTAATTTTGTTAAAACATTACTAACCCTTTCATTAGGTACACCCCTCCCAAATGTGGGGGACAAAAGAAAATAAAGACAGTTTGTAACTTAAAATTACCAAGGACATTAGAGTTATTTGCTTTTGCAAATAAGGAAACTGAAGCCCAGGAAAATATTTGAAAGAGCTTGCCCAAGGTCACAACCACTTAGCGAGACTCAGGACCAGAACCCAAATCTTCTCAGTCCAATACTATTTTCACTTCTGTTTCATCCATACACTTAAAAGTATAACCCATGTGCCAGGGACATCTGTAGACCCAATGGCAAAGGCGGGAAGGTGGCAGTTTTCTAGACTTAAACCTTCAAGCAAAAACGTGAACAACGTAGTACTCTCTCGGACAGCCTTATGGAAAATCTAGCCACCAGTTAATTTTAAATGTATTCATGCTTGTGAATAGATAATACACGCACATAATAGAAAAGTCAAGATAAATTTCCCTCCCTCCCCTGTCCTTCAGCCACTGAGTTCTCCTCCCCAAAACATTAGTTATCTAATTCCAGAGATAGTCTAAGCATAGTCAGCCATATAAATGTGAAATTTTAAAAATAATCAACAGACCTCATGTATGCCTATACCTGTCTCTTAATCACAGTAAATTCAATTTTCCCCAAAAGTACCTTTTTAAAAGGAAACCAAGTCATCCTTAGCCAAGGCGCTCTATAACCCAATCCTCTCCAACAGGTCTATCATTATTTATTCCTCTGCCCACCTCTCACCAGAATACATACCAGTAGATAATATGGCAGAGGTTTCTTGCCAGGATTATTGGCCATATCACTCCTTCCCAATCCTGCTGTCAGCTGGAGGGGCCTCAGGGAAATTTCTTGCATTTCATGCTTCTTTTTCTGGATCACACCATCAGCTGAGTTAGACATCTGACATTAGCTATGTAAAATAAAACCTGCCTCATACTCAGAGACTCAGCATCCTGTTGAACCATTCATCATACCTAGTGAATGAGTTATTCTTTTTGAAAGAAAAAAACTCATGTTTTAGTCTAAAAGAATATGACCTCTCTCTCTAAGGATAATTGAATAGTATCAATAGTAATAATATTAATAGTATTAATTCATTTATCTTTCTTTCCCTGCAATGCTAAGAATGCAAAGTATATAAAAACAAAAGAGCCCTGGCCAGTTTGGCTAAGTGGTTAGAACGTCGGATTCGGTTCCTGCTAAGGGCATGTACCTCAGTTACAGTTTGTCCCCGGCCCCGGTTGGGGTTGTGCAGGACGTAGCCACTAGATGTGTCCCTTTCACATCAATGTTTCTCTCGCTCTCTGTCTCTCTCTTCCTCTTTCTCACTTCCACTCTATCTGAACAAAAATGGAAAAATGTCCTTGGGTGAGGATAAAAAAAAAAAGAGGGAGAGATTTAGGGGAAATCCATGTATATTTTTAAGCTAAACATTTTATTTTGAGATGATTGTAGATTAGCATTCAATTGTAAAAAAATAATACAGCCCTGGCTGGTTTGGCTCAGCGGTTAGAGCGTCGGCCTGAGGTCCAGAGAGACACGGGTTCAGTTTTCACTAAGGGCCCGTACCTCGGTTGCAGTTTGTCCCCAGCCCTGGTTGGTCATGTGGGTGGCAGCCACTCGATGTGTCCCTTTCACATCCATGTTTCTCTCTCTCTCTCTCTTCCTCTCTCTCCCTCCCACTCTATCTGAACAAAAAATGAAAAAAATGTGTCCTCAGGTGAGGATAAAAAAATAATAATAATAATACAAATAATACAAAGAGATTCCTGTACCTTTTACCTATTGCAAAACTTCAGTACAATATATCACAACGAGGATATTGACATTGACACACTCAGTATATAGAACATTTCTTCCTTTCTGATAGGAATGCCTTTTATTTCCTTTTCTTACCTTATTGAACTGGCTATAACTCCTGGCACTTTGTTTAATAGGACTGGTGAGAGCAAACATCCTTTCTTTGTTCCCAATTTTAGAAGGAAAGCATTCATTCTTTATTAAACTATTAAGTATATTAACTGCAAGGTTATTTTTAGATGCTCTTTATCAAGTTGAGGAAGTTCTCTTCTTATCTTTCTGAGAGTTTTCATCTAGAATTAATATTTAGCCCAGCTGGTATGGTTCAGTGGCTGAGTGTCGACCCATGCACCAAGAGGTTACCAGTTGGATTCCCGGTCAGGGCACATGCCTGAGTTTCGGGCTAGATCCCCAGTGTAGGGAATGCAGGAGGCAGCAGATTGATGTTTCTCTCATTGATGTTTCTATCTCTCCCTCTCCTTTCCCCTGTTTCTCAAAATCAATAAAAACTTTTTCTTAACAAAAAGAATTTTTAATTTTTTCAAATGTTTTTCTGTACTGAAAGCTATGTTCATTTTATTTTTGCCTGTAAACATGACAGATTATATTGATTTTTTAAATAATTTTTTATTGATTGATTGATTGGAGAGAGAGAGAGAGAGCAAAAGAGAGAGAGCGAGAAAAATACCGATTTGTTGTTCTACCCACTCATGTATCCATTGGTTGATTCCTATATATTCCGACTGGGGATCAAACCTGCAACCTTGGCATATTCAGACAATGCTCTAACCAACTGAGCTACCCAGCCAGGGCTTAATTTTCAAATACTGAACCAGCCTGCATCCCTGAAATAAACCTAATTTGGACATGGTAGATAATTGCTTTCATATATTGCTGAATTCTATTTGTTAATATTTGGTTAATAATTTGTATGTGTTTCTTTGATAGCTAATGATATTGAACATCTTTTTGTGTGCTAATTTGTATTTCTTTGGAGAAATGTATATTCAGATTCCTTGTCCATTTTATTTATTTATTTTATCCGCAGCCGAGGACATTTTTTCTTTTTGTTGTTGTTCAGATAGAGTGGGAGGGAGAGAGAGGAAGAGAGAGAGAGAAACATCAATGCAAAAGGGACACATCGAGTGGTTGCCACCCACATGACCCAACCGGGGCCGAGGACAAACTGCAACTCAGGTACATGCCCTTAGTGGGAACTGAACCCAGGTCTCTCTGGACCACAGGCCGATGCTCTAACTGCTGAGCCAAACCAGCCAGGGCTCCCTTGTCCATTTTAAAATTGAATATTTGTCTTTTTTTTTTTTAATCTTCACCTGAGGATATTTTCCCATTTTTCTTTAGATGGAGTGGGAGGGAGACAGAGAGAGGGAGAGCGGGAGAAACATTGATGCAAGAGAGACACATTGACTGGTTGCCTCCGGCATGACCCCAACCAGGGCTGGGGACGAACTGCAACCAAGGTACCTGCTCTTGACTAGAACCAAACCCGCAACTCATTGGTCCACGGGCCTGCACTCCAAACGCTGAGCCAAACCGGCCAGGGTGGATATTTGTCTTTTTATTATTCAGTTGTAATTATTCTTTTTATACTCTAGACACAAATCCCTCATTAGATATAATTTGGAAAAAAAAAAAAAAAGGTCCCCTATTCTGTGACTTGTCTTTTCATTTTCCTGATGGTGTCTTTTCCCCACCATGTATTCTGTCCATGCCCTCCTCCACCTCCACTCAACTCCCTCTTCCATCACAATCACCACACTGCTGTCCATGTCCATGAGTTTTTTTTCTTTCTTGCTCAACCCCTCCACCAACCCCAGCAACTCCCCCCACTGGAGCTGTCTGCCTGCTCTCTCTGAGTTTGTCTCTATTTTGCTTGATAGTTCCATTTTTTACACTGAATTCCATATATGAGTATTAGTGGTGTCTTTTGAAGCACAAAGTGTATTTTAATGATATCCCAGCTTATCTTTGTTGTTGTGCTTTTAGTGTTATGTCTAAGAAATCATTGCCTAATCCAAGGTCATCAATATTTACATCTATATTTTCTTCTACAAGTTGTATAATTTTAGCTCTTAATTTAGGAATTTGATTCATTTTGAGTTAATTTTTGTATATGGTGTGATGAA